CCCCCCCCCCCCCCCATATTCTCTAATTATATGTATCTTCCTTTTTCATGCTCAAATAAAATTGCTCTTGATATATATCGCTTTAAAATATAGTAACTCTTGATTGGCATGTTTTTCATGTAAGACCCAATAATGCCCCTATACACACAACAAGCCCTCTTTGTCTCATCCTTGGCAGGGGCGTGCCTGCTTTTACTCTGTCTAACATCAGACAATTTTACTCTTCAGTGGGAGAGTACAGACAATGAGTTCATCTAAAGCTTACCAAATGTATTCATTGTTGTAAACTTGTCACAGCTTACAGTTAATATATAGCCACCATTGGAAGGCTATTACCAGGGTGGTTGCTGTGGAATATAACAATAGCAAAACACTAGCTATCACTGGGACGTTTCCTCAGTGACTGATTGTTACAGGGAAATTTGTCTTGCAAAATGGCTTTTATCCATGCAAATATTTTGCCTGTGAACTTGGCAAGCAAGATGGAATGTAATGCCTCCATTGGTTAACAAATCCAAGCCAAATGTTATTAAGACAGGTCTTTATATTCTGTTGCACTACATAAACCGTCACTTGGAAATCTATTAGATTCATATTAAATTCCAGTTGTCCTTTCCCTTATGTCTAGGCACCTCACACCCATATATTAAAAGTTAAAACAGGGCTATTGATTTAATTTATAAGAAAGCGTTTGCTATTTAATTAATAAATTTTTGCCACATCTGAGACACTCACGTTTGAAAACTTTGTCTTTGTCCAAGACCAAGGAATAAATTGAACAGTGTATTCCGCAATAAAAAAACTTTTATTAACAATTTTCCGTCCATACAAGCGTATTAAAACAATGCTACAAGACAAAAAGTATAAATAGTATATTACCATGACAGTCAAAGATATGTCAACAGTTGAATATATATTGACAATTTTCGCTCGTTCCTTTTCGTGTTATAGTTTCAACTAAATCACTGCACTTTCCGCTTATTATCATATACTATGAAATGTAGTCGACAATTTGAGTAGAAATATGTATATATCAACGATAAACTTTCACTTAAGACCTTGTCTTGACATGAATCGACGGCAACGTGAATATTTGACTGCTCTGGAAAACACTCGTCTCTAAATAATCCCATTAAATCGCCGTTTCGGGTGACGATAACGTTATCAGCTCCTTATTCAAAGTTCCCTGTGTATATACAATGTTAAAAAACAGGATTATTCGTTAATTTAACAGTTTTACTCGTCTTTTAAGCCATCGCGTTGAAAACAAAAATTTCTTCACTCCTTGCCGCAAGCCCTTCCTACTCCCCCTAAGTTTGAGTTTGTCGAAATTTGCATGCGCGAAACGGTATGCGCAGTGCAAATTTTTGTGTCGATTTATGGCAGGCATCTCACCAAACTTTTTCTCACCACCCAATTCCTCAGTGAGATGCTTGCTGAGGAGGCCACGCAAAATGTAAGAAATGCAAATGTGCCAAACATATCCTACATTAATTGGTTGCATGAGCGTGACAGTATATCTTTTGCATTAATTATAAGTTCGCCCAACTGAAAAATTCGAGACTTGAAGCTTATTCACTGTATCTGAAACATTCTGACCTACAGTATCTGTCAATAATTTGGGCAGAAAATCGAAGTGTTTGGACGTGCTTTTCAAAGATATATGTGGGTATTCATAATAATAAGGTTACAGGCTATACCCAACCCTCAGCGTTTCAGGCGATCTATACCGCATTATACTCGGCGAATTGTTATCCAATGCATGTCTATGACAAATTTTCGACGAATTTAGCCATAAAGTAGATGAAGAACAACAGTCATAGTGTAATAAATATACGGGAAAAAGAATGAATGAATATACCTGAGTATTGCTATATAGTTTAAGTTCGTGGCCGAGATCTAAGTTAAACGTTTAAAAGCCGGTTTCACCACAGGAAGCCCAGGCTCGATTTGCCCGCGCCCGCCTTCCTTATAACGAGAGAAGGAAGGAAATATTAAGACCAAAATAGCCCAGACTTGGCATATGTCACACGAAACTATCCTCGATTTTTCGCCTTTAATGCATTTCTTTCACGATTACTCGACATCCCCTGCAAGAATGATACCGTATAACTCTCAAAACAACGATGCTTTAATCAAAGAGCTCAAATTCGCTCTGAAATCCGTGAGGGAATAACAAAATTCGGCCAAAATATATCCGCTTGCCGGGTTTGCTGGACAAAAAGCGGAAGTCGTTGAACAACTCAAAATACACTCAACCCTGATTGGACGACGAAAATCAACAAACATTTCAAATTTTCAGTAGTCAGTAATTACACTGGCCTGTAGGCCAAGTGTCTTAAATCCCTCTTTTTCTGTTTTCTGTTTTCGACGAGAAATGGAGTTTGCGTTAGGTCATCGCAGGCTCAGGCCGCAACGTGCTCCAGTTACATATTCAGTTCAGTTGAATTTTCAAAGAATTGTGCCGGTTTCCTATGGATTTTACGTTGTGTCGCACTCT